GGGGGGGGGGGGGGGCGGGCACGTCTTGACGCGTGGAGCTCAGCTCTTGTGTCGCTGATGCTTCTACGCTCTGGTGCCGTTACTGCTTTATGCAGCACCTGCATGCGCGCTCTTTTCAAGTTCCAGTCTAGGCTGGCCGCCCAGTGGCGCTGCAGCTTCAACCTGACGCCCCCGAGGCGCCAACGCGTGTGCAACACTTGGTGACTGGTGGCTGCACCCGCTTGCTCATGGCCTTTGAGATTTGGGGGGGTTAACTCCCATGTGGAGCCAGACTTTTCCCCTCGCTGCTGTCGTAACGGTCAGCGGAGCAACAGCAGCGAGCAAAGGCACGTGTGCAGCACAAGGTGTCCACCTGCTCCTGAGGGGCGTGCGCAGAGGTTGGCGCGCAGTGCACGCCCCTCGCCTGCGTCAAGTGACACAGTGACACCCTCATCGTGCGAGCGCCACTGCGACTGGAGCCAGCGAAGACGGGTCCGTACCCGCAAAACCCAAGGAAGCGTCCAGCACCGGCACAGCCGAGCGGCTCTGCTGCTTCAAGGAAACAGTAGCCCCCGGCGGCTCTCTGCTCGCCCCGTGCCCACGCCATTGTCCCACCCACCCTTTGCTTTCACAAACGATCCGACATCATCGGCATGCATCGCTGCCCTTGCTTGTGCCACAGCCCTCCTGGACCTGCTGGTGAGCATCACTGCAGGGGCCGGCCCGCTGAGCCCTGGGCCCCAACGGTTGTGAACACCAGAGTGTCAGGATGGCACACGCCTTGCTGGGCCACCCACTTTCTTTGCAGGAAACATGCATTGTTCATTGCAGTGATGTCCAGGCTGTGTTTGCTTGCTTATTGCCCACGGCGCACCCATCCCCTTCATACACTCATTTCCAGCCTTCCTAACACCTTGCAATTCGATGTACTGCTACTTCCACCCTTAGCGATCACACCCACCTTGCCCTGACCCCCCTCCTGCCCAGGTGTCCGCCCACCTGCTGATGCGCCCCGGCGCCGAGCGCCTGCCGCCAGGTGTCCTGACAAAGGCGCGCTCGGTGGGCGTCCGCAATGCGCGCCTGGCAGCGGCCGCGGCGGCCCACGGGCTGCACCGGCTGGTGAGGATCAGGGGGGCGCGGCTGAGGGAGGCGGTGGCGGAATACGGGGAGGCGGTGGCGGCGGGCGCGGCCGAGGCCGAGGCGGCCGAGGCAGGCGGGGCGAATGGCGGCGGCGGGGCGAGCGGCACTGCAGCAGCAACTGGGGGCGACTTCCGTGGCGGCGCCGGGAGCGGCGGAGGCAGAGCGGCTGCCGCCGCCCCGGCGTCGAACGCTGAGAAGCCCGCATCAGCGACGGCGTGTGG